CTCCCCTGCCGAGCTGCAAGACCGAGTGTGCGCAGTACTCGAACGCGTGCAGGAATATGGCTTTCGCCTACGGGCCGAGAAGTGCCAATTCTTCCTCGACTCCATCAAGTACCTTGGATTCGTTTTTGACGCCAATGGTCGCCATCCAGATCCTGAAAACATTCGGGCCATTCAACGGATGCCTGCCCCCAAGAATGTATCGCAACTTCGTTCGTTCCTTGGCCTGATCAGCTACTATAGCGCCTTCCTACCGTCTCTGCATGACGTACGGGCCCCACTCAACCGTCTGTTGCAGAAAGATGCTTCCTGGTGCTGGTCCCCCGACTGTGAAAAGGCCTTCGCCCAGCTAAAGTCGATGCTGAGTTCAGATCTGCTGCTCACGCACTACGACCCGACGCTGCCGATCGTTGTTGCTGCAGATGCTTCCAACCACGGAGTTGGTGCCGTCATCTCACATACTTTTCCTGATGGGTCTGAAAAGGCGATCATGCATGCATCTCGCACGCTAACCCCTGCGGAGAAGAACTATGGGCAAATAGAGAAAGAGGCTCTAGCCCTCGTGTTTGCTGTCAAGAAATTTCACAAACTATTGTACGGTCGCCACTTCACGTTGTTGACGGATCACAAACCATTGCTGTCAATCTTCGGTTCGAAGAAGGGCATTCCCGTCTACTCAGCCAGCCGACTTCAGCGATGGGCAATCATCCTTCTTGGCTACGATTTCGACATTCGCTACTGTCGTACTACAGACTTTGGTCAGGCTGACGCCCTTTCTCGCCTCATCAGCAATCAGCAGGAACCGGAGGAAGATACCGTGATTGCAGCTATTTCGATTGAGGACGATGTGCGCCGTCAGCTATCAGACGCCATACGAGGTATTCCTGTCACTGCCGCGGACATCCGACGTGCTACTGAACAGGATCCTGTCCTCCGCCAGGCCATCACCTACGTGCAGACCTGCTGGCCAGCCACTGCTCTCGCTGGTGATCTTCGTCAGCTCTTCCTCCGCCGAGCATCGCTATCTGTGGTTGACTCCTGCCTCATGTTTGCAGACCGTGTGGTGATCCCATCTTCCCTCCGACCCACTGTACTACGCCAGTTCCATGCGGCTCATCCTGGTACCAGCCGAATGAAGTCTATTGCTCGCAGTTTTGCCTACTGGCCGGGTATCGACGGCGACATCGACGACCTGGTTCGACGCTGTTCTCGATGTCAGCAAGCGGCCATGATGCCGCCTCGTCAACCGCCAGTACCCTGGGAACCACCAGAGAGGCCTTGGTCACGCGTGCACATCGACTTCGCTGGCCCACTTAACGGAGTCTCCTACCTAATCTTGGTTGACACCTACTCGAAGTGGCCTGAGATTGCTCCGCTGAATCCAGCGACCGCATCTGCTACTATCGCCTTCCTACGACGCATCTTTAGCCAACATGGCTTACCGGAAGTCCTGGTTTCAGATAATGGCTCTCAGTTTACTTCGTCGTTGTTTGAGGATTTCTGCCGCCAGCACAACATCCAGCATCTTCGCTCCCCGCCCTACCATCCTCAGTCTAACGGTCAGGCGGAGCGTTTTGTCGACACGTTTAAGAGAGCCCTCTTGAAAGCTCGTGGGGAGGGGACCACGGACGAGATAGTCCAGGCATTCCTGTTTTCCTACAGGACAACACCGAACAGAATAGAATAGAATAGGTTTATTGTAGCGCCCCTTGGGCACTGTCAGTCCCCTTTGAACTCAGGAAAAAAACCTAAAACAAACTCGTCAATTTCAACTGCACTTTGATTTCATTTGCTTCGGGTGTCTGGTTAGCCAAAAGAGCGCGAATTGAGAGTTTGTTTTAAGTTAAAAAAAACCTCAGTTCTAAGGGAAAATAATAACAAAATTTTCAAAAAAATAACGATATGTACAATATAAAAATTGAAGTTTGCAGTTTGGTAGTTTTCGGGGGCATGAATAATATGTCCTTCATGGCAATTGAAGAACTTTGATATCGGCCTGACCTTGAAATTATTTTCCTGCTGGGTAAATTTCAGTTTGCTCTAGTTGCTGGTTGTCAGTCTATCTGGCCAGCTGTAAGGGGGCGGTCGCACAGTTCCTACGTATTTTTCAGGAGGCTTACCATCGTTGTCTGGACTAAGAGCTGGAAAAGATGAATATATATCAGGAGTAAGAAGCATTCAATGGTAAGTCACAATCAAAACTGTCAAAATACTATTGAATCAAGTATCATATTGTTCTTCTTAATGTGAAATTATAGGAGTAGTGGTCGACTGTTTACTATGACCTAATATAGTTCTATGTATGTTTAATATTGTAACGTCCCGTGATCTGTACAGGGTTGTTTGAATGCCGTGACACTTTTGGCGCGCGGACCTAGGATGGAGATGGCGTAGCCGCATGTTGGTGAAGATGGCCGGTGTCCCTTCCACTATCTTCCGCCGATCCCCTCTCCCGCTCCGTATCGTGCCGTAACGTTCGTACCGCTGCCCTCACTACATCGGCAACTCCCTCGGCCCTTCCCTGCAGTTGCCCCCAGCGCTGCGCTCCCCACCGGTTGTCCAGCTGGCATGTCGGCCTCGCCTCCTCACCCAGACAGATCAACACAAGTCAGGATCTCCTCCTCGATATTCCGTTACGTGGTTGTGCGCTACCCTTGACGTCCTCGGCCGAGGAAGTCAAGGGTAGCACACACCAGAGAGAGGAAACGCAGATGAGAACTCCTGGCCGGGTTAGACCCTGAACGGAACTGTTAACACTTCTTGATGCTCATCCATACACCGGGGAAGAAGGCAGATGGAGTAATGGGAATAGTGTAATGCATAACGCGACAAGCAAGGAAAATGTGTATAATAACTGTTAACAATACAGGGGGATTAGTTACAGCTGAAGAATAACCTGTCTGGGTGAAGAGGCGATACCGACATGCCAGCTAAATAACCGGTGGGGAGCGCAGCGCTGTGGGCAACTGCAGGGAAGGGCCGAGGGGGTTGCCGATGTAGTGTGGGAAGCGGTACGAACGTTACGATACGATACGGAGCGGGAGAGGGGATCGGCGGAAGAGAGTGGAAGGGACACCGGCCGTCTTCACCAACATGCGGTTACGCCATCTCCACCCTAGGTCCTCGCGCGGAAAAGTGTCACCTCATTCAAACAACTCTGTCCAAGTCCAGGGGCGTTACATAGCCTCCTCCTGAGATGCAGCACTGTCCTCAGTGCTGCTGGAGTTGGTGCTCGGGAGGGGGGGGAGAAGGTGAGTGCTCCTCTCCATCCCACCGCTGCCACCAATGTAGCGGCCGAGGACGTCAAGGGTAGCGCACAACCACGTAACGGAATATCGAGGAGGAGATCCTGACTTGTGTTGATCTGTCTGGGTGAGGAGGCGAGGCCGACATGCCAGCTGGACAACCGGTGGGGAGCGCAGCGCTGGGGGCAACTGCAGGGAAGGGCCGAGGGAGTTGCCGATGTAGTGAGGGCAGCGGTACGAACGTTACGGCACGATACGGAGCGGGAGAGGGGATCGGCGGAAGATAGTGGAAGGGACACCGGCCATCTTCACCAACATGCGGCTACGCCATCTCCATCCTAGGTCCGCGCGCCAAAAGTGTCACGGCATTCAAACAACCCTGTACAGATCACGGGACGTTACAATATGGCTTTAATATAGACATACGCACGACTAATATGCAGGGTTTTATCGAAGGGTATATTTTTATTAGCTTTATAAGGGATATTTGGTGTCAGGTGACATAGCTAATGAAAACGAGAAAGGGAGGAAAATAGAGGAATATCATTATCTGTTCTATGTTTATCAATGATGCTATCTTTTATAAATTTGATTATTTTTAGTGCTATGTTCCGGTATTTTTCAATCGGCTGNGTCTAGTATATTGTTTCCTCGGGTGGGTTTGTCAACTATCTGTGTCCAGTTATTAAAGATAATTGAAGACAAGAATTCTTCGTGCCTGGTAGGTGCTGATAATTCGACCCAGTCTATTTCTGGGCGGTTTAGGTCGCCTGTAATTATCTTATATTCAGTTTTTATGTTTGCTATATTGCTTATTAAGAGGTTGAGGCTTGTGTCATCACTACTACATTCTGGAGGGGAGTAGAGGCATCCGACTAATATGTTTTCCTGGGCATGAGATTTTATTGTGGCAAAACACGCTTCTCCAGAAAAGGTTTCGGTTGGGACATCAATACCACTTTGCTCAATGGTAGTTTTGATGTAGATAAGACAACCTCCGCCTCGTTTATTAACACGGTCCTGTCGATAGAAATTATAATTTGGGACATATAGTGAAGCATTCGATATAAGCTCATTTGCCCATGTTTCTGTAATGCAAATTACATCGGGGTCATATATTTCAACAAAAGTTCTAAGTTGGGATATTTTGTTGACAATCGATCTGGAATTTATAAGAGCTATCTTTAGGATGTTGGATATGGAAGAGGTGGGCTCTGGTGAAAAAAAGGATTTCTGGGGGTACTTTGAGTGAGTGATGGACTAAACGGAGGTAGGTGTGTGATTCTCGGAGGATGTGGTGATGCGTATGGCGTAATGTGAGTGCATGGGCTAGTGTGTATGGACTGAGGGTACATATGGGGAGGTGCGTTAACTAGGTGGTAATTGTACCTAAATGGAGTTTCAGTTGGGGAGGTGTAAAAGCCAAAGTAATTTGAAGGGTTGTAATTAGGTGGTAAGGAGTTTGCAATGCTAGAGTGATTTGGCTTATTCGTATGCCATGCAGGTGGATTTTGGGGAGTCGAGATGCGGTTATAGAAGCTTGTTTGTTTTTGGTTAGAGTTTGTTGGGCTTCTATTTGTTATGTCAACATACCTACGGCGTTTTGGTTGTGTTGGTGTGCTTAGTAAGGCCTTTTGGTTTATGTGTCTTGTTTGGTAGTCGTTTTCTAGTACTGACTGATCGGTCTTGGGGGATGTAGTAAAACTTATACTGCTATCTAAGGCGTCCCCTGGTGGCGTTTCTCCTGCCGAAGCGTTGATGGGCCGAAAACTGCGTACAACTTTTCATGCCCTCGTCCCTACCGGTGCGCAGCCCGCGCAGACTTCTCCAGTCTCTCGCAGCAAGCTCTCCATCGGAACGCCTGTCTTCGCCCGTGATTATCGAGTGGAGTTCCCAGACTGGATTGAAGCAACCGTGGTAGCGCACAGAGGCAGTATGTTGTTTGACGTCGACGTTGGTGGTGAAATCTGGGTTCGTCACCACAACCAGATCCGATGGCGACATTGCAGTAACACAACTGGGATCGATCCGGCGCCGTCACTCCCCATTGACATCCTACTGGATACCTTCGCCATTCCGGCAGATCGGTCGGTTCCTGAACCCACTGCTGCGCCTCCTTCGGATGTACCGCCTTCGGTATCAGTCACTGCCCCCGGGTCTCCAGACAACAAACCACAACTAAGACGCCGGACCAACCGCGTGCGCCGATCAACACTGCCGATGCAGATCAATCCACGCCAAAAGCGGTACTGACCCACTTGGAGGGGAGGTGTTGGGAGTGCCTACACTCCCAAAAACAAGAGCAAACCAGTCAATGGAGATCACGTGCGTTTGCTCACTCTCTACCGCGCTGTCATCGCAATCAGGCGCTTTCCCATTGGCTACTCCCCTCTTCCCGAAGGTCATTGGACCGAGTGCCGGCGAACCACGCTAGCGTGTGATAAATATGCGTCACCCTTAGCTAGACGTGACTTGCACGGACTCGTTGATACGTGTTTGCTAATACACGTTCCGTGGCCAGCCGTGTGTTCTTTGTCTGCTGCCTTGATTGGGAACCAGGGTCGAACGCATACACGCTCCAGGGGATTTCACGTACCAGGCGGGTCATAACAAAAACAATTACTGAAACTTAACCTGTGCGTTTTCTATTGGCCTCCCAGCTCGAATGAAATCGCCGATATGGAATTACTTGGTGCAGTGGAGTTATAATGCAAGCAGGAGAACTTACTACTCCTGGGTGACATTAGGGCTCCAGGAATAGACTGGAAATCTCCCTTGACAAATGTCCCGTCCACGTCACTCGACCACAAGCTACTGCAACTCTCCCTGATTGAATTCCCCATTCAACACATAAAATTCGGAACGATATATAGAGAAGGACAGCAGTCATATTGCTTTTACCTGTGTGTGCTCTCTCCTATCGAACCGACAACCAAAAATCAAGAGGCGCGGAAATATTTGGAAGGGTGACTCTAACGCAACGAGACGTGTTATTTTTAAGGGAACCTGGTTAGTCAACATGGAAGATTCACAAGAATTTTGGCAGTAAATTCGCAGGATTATAGAGCGTCTCATTGATATTCATTGAAAAAAAAATAACAAGACCATGGGCGCGACGCCGTGGGTCAATCCGACGACAAAAGAGACCATGAAGAAGAAACAGAGACTGTGGAAAAAGCATTTGCATCTTCGAGGTCCAAGGTCATTCGTCGAATATAAGGATCACCGAAATAAATGCCGCAAACAAATATGGGTCGCTGGAACTTCTTTCGAGCGCAGACTGATAGCAGAATCCATTTCATGTCCCAAGAGGTTTTACGGGTACATCCGCAATAGGAGGAAACATAGGGATGAAATTGTCTGTCTAAAGGATAGCCTCGGAAACTTAGTAGTTGAAGGGCCATAGAAAATGTAAGTACTGTCTCAATTTTCTCAATCGGTTCTTACGAAGGACTCTACTGATGACAATCGGGAGTTTGAAATGGGCCAAGATACTGCCGTCATTGAAACCGTCGCCTTTTCCGTCGAAGAAGAAGGACGCGTCCTCAGTCAAATAAAACGCGATAAGTCTCCAGGACCTGACGGAATTCCCGGACTTATACTTAAGGAGCTATCAACGGAGCTGTCAAAGCCTCTTTCGACTCTTTTGGAGTTGTCAGTGAGAACAGGAAGGCTGCCGTCACAGTGGAAGACAGCTAACCTCGTTACCTTACATAAGGGAGGTAGCAGGATGGCAGCAAGCAGCTTTATGCCTACTAGCTAAACTTGCCTCTCATGCAAAACGATGGAAGTTCTAGTAAAGAGCGCTATACAACAGTTTTTTAAAGGAAATACCATCTTGCAGGATTTTCAACATGACTTCCGGAGAGGACGTTCCTATCCCTCAAATCTGCTAGCTTGTCTGGAGATCTGGACCAGGGCTCTAGAAGAAGGTTTGAGGTTGATGCCGTGTGCATAGATTTACACAATGCATTTGACACTGTTCTGCACCAACGACTTCTTCATAAATTGAGCGCCATCGGTATCCGGAGAGATCTGAACTAGATAAGGGCATTTCTGGTTGGTCGGAAACAACGTGTGTGTATCGGAGATGATATGTCAGACTGGGTGAGCGTGACCAGTGGTGCGCCTCAAGGCTCAGTTCGGGGACCTCTGCTCTTCATCCTTGACGTTAATGACAACCCTCAGGAACTCGACTGCGGCAAAATAATGTTTGTCGACGACGTTAAGCTCTGGCAAGTAATTAAGGGTCCGAATGATCAGAGATCCCTTAAAAACAATCTGCACTGAATGCAAGCGTGGTCGAAGAAATGGCTTCTAGATTTCGATGTGTAGAAGTGTGCCGTCCTTCATCTGCATCCAACCGCCATTCAAGTGGGAGCCTGAGGACATATCACCTGAATGATATAGGACTCCCCGCGGAATCTTCATAGAAGGATCTCGGGGTTTGGAAACAGAACAACCTGAAACCAACACTGCCGTGCAACAAGGCTGCAAAAGACGCCATGGGGGTGCTGCATGCAACCAAAAGTGCGTTCGTAACATTTGACCAAGACCTTTTTGGTAGAGTTTACGCCAACGTTGTTCGGCCCCACTTAGAATATGGCATACAAGCATGGCGGCCATGGCTAGTAAAGGACCAAACATGTCTCGAACGGGTACAACGGCGTGCAACAAAGCTGGTAAACGGTCTAAAAAGCCATTCCTACACAGACAGACTGAATTGCCTTAATTTATTCCCTCTGTGTTACAGGCAGCAAAGAGGTGATCTAATCCTCGTTTACAAGATAATACATGATCTTGAGCATGGACTTAGTTTAGAGGATATGGTTCGGTGGCACCTTTCACCCAATCTTCGTGGTCACTCGATGAAGTTACAGACAAAAATGTCCAGGCTGAATCTTCTTTCTGAATTTTTCACGCAGAGTGTAGCGGAGAAATGGAACGATCTTCCTCATTCAGTCGTGAAGGCGACGTCTCTGCAACTCTTTAAGAACCGCTTGGATGATTATTTGTGTCCCCTGTTATCCCTCGACAGTCTGAATCGGAACTAAGTATTCCGCGGCACCGAAAAAGTTTTATTTGCAACAATGCTACTCAAATGAATAAAGTGCTGCTTTAATAGCGAATATTTTCATTGTTCATGTACAGTCGCATCTAACGTACTGACATTTTATCAATAGGGTTTAAAAAGTCCTTTCCCATTATCATTACCAAATAAAGCAAAAAATTACTAAATGCAGATGCAGTTTCTGATTTTAAAAATTCAATTTTGGGTACCGTTCTCAAAGCTTTACATGCAGCCTTGGAATATGTGAGGATACTTTGTTGGAAGTGTGGATATTTCGCGGTCTACGATATGTTTGTGTGCACAAGATTATAGGAGATGCTGAAAGACAGTGTAAAATATATACCACTTAGATAGATACATAGCACGCATTCAGTACCGTAACTCTGCTTACTTTAATCCTCCCAACCTCTCCTGTGGCATCTACTGCATGATAAGCAGTTCACATGATGTAAGACCGTGTGCAGTGTAAATGCCGTGCATACTGTGTCATCAGACGTAGATAGTGTTGGAGGGGCTTCGTTATCTGCTTTTCCATCTCTGCCTATATGTATTTTTGAGATCAAAATTAATAACAGACAAGGTATATATAATTGATTGGAAAAGAGGCAGCCATATCAATAGGCAAATCCTAGGGCGTTAATCTGCCCTTGTGATGCAGCCCCCAACATCGCAATCTGAATGTCCTGTCACCTCGCAAACGATCACTATTCGTTGGAAATATCATGCGGTTGGTTATGGGCCTGCCGTCGTGACAACACCTACAGTACTTGCTGTTACTATTACGAAATAACATGCCTGTCGCATCCCTAATAGCCATCATGCACTTTCACCTGTCTGACGTAAGACCACGCAGGCGTGTCACGGGTGACCTTCTATAAGACTACCTTGACAAGATCATCCTTTGATGGAAGACGCAGCCCATTAGTTAGGAGGTTCTTCAGCTCAGACACTCAGTCCTCAAAAATTCCTCCAAGGGGTCAGACTTGCCAGAACCAGGAAGGACGCCGACAACCGGACGGCTAACATGACTAAGTATAGGCCACAGGCTTTGGCCGGAGCCCTTAAGAATCTTCAATCCGTCAATGTGCAATTGAGCGCTTTTTTCCGGAATCCTGGTTGCCGGCCGACGGTGCATCTCGTCTAGCAGACCTCGGCCAAGGCCCTAATGGACATGGCACCCGCTCTTTAGGGGCTTGCAAATGCATGATCGGGGTGTTTGGAATAGCGTCTGCGGGTCCTTGTGTATGTCTGGATGGTAGGGCCGTAGAATATTGAAAATATTCTTCGTTAAGTAGAGTTGCAGTTGCACGCCAAGGCGAAATTCTTGTAAATCCGCCAGAAAGTAATTGCCTCCCACTGGGTTTGTGCGCCCTGTGCCCTCAGCTGACGCTTTACCCATGGTTTGGTTATATACATCAAAAACCTACCCATAGAAGCTTCTGGACTCAACATAGGCATTTGTTTTCCCGTCGAATTTTCTGCTACCCCATATGCTGTAGATGGGACGGAGCATCGAGGCTAATCAACGGCGGCATAGTATACCTACATATCCCGCTTAATGTGCTTGTATACAGTGCTCCGTGGATATCTGTAGTAGTTGCGCCTCGTACTTACTTCTCTTGGAAGACAAAAAGTAATATAAAATAGGTATACGCGAAGCATAAACTTGCAGACTGTCTGGAGGGTTACCATTCAGCTATTAAACCGAATTGGTCCCCAGAACTTTAAAGCTAAACAACGATTAAAATTTTAGTTCAGTTCAATTCAACTTATTGAGGGAAATAGGCGTATGCCTTTGAGTACCCTATTTACTAGAGGTTGCAAACATAAGAGATATCGAAAGGATTTGATTTTACGTACGGCTCTTGCAAAACCTGATCGAAATGAAAAGGCAGTCAAAGGACGAACGACATTCAGCAAGCAGCTTAGTCAGCAGACTAGTGCTGCCTACGCGATCCAATTAAACAAGTCCCATTTTTAATCATTGATGGAAAGATCACTCGAATAGGCTTCAACGATAAATCTATACGGAACTGATTGTTTAATTATCAGTCGACGCCGTGTACATCGACTTTAAAAAGGCTTTTGACAGTCTTCCACACAGACGACTTATATGTAAACTACGTCAAGTGGGTGTGAATGGAAATCTTTTGAAATGGCTAGCCGATTTTCTTACGGGCAG